CCCTGGGCAGCCCATTCCAACGCCCAACAGCCCCTTCTGCACAGAAATCCTTCCTCAGAGCCAGCCTGACCCTGCCCTGGGCAGCTTGAGGCCATTCCCTCGGGGCCTGGCGCTGGCTCCTTGGCTCCAGAGACTCATCCCCCCTCTCTGCCCCCTCCTGGCAGGGAGTTGCCGAGGGCCAGGAGGTCTCCCCTCAGCCTCCTCTTCTCCAGACTGAACCCCCCCAGTTCCCCCAGCTGCTCCCCAGCAGACCTGTGCTCCAGACCCTGCCCCAGCTCCGTTGCCCTTCTCTGGCCACGCTCGAGTCATTCAATGGCCTTTTTGGGGTGAGGGGCCCAGAACTGAACCCCCTCAGCGAGGGGCGGCCTCCCCAGTGCCGAGCCCAGGGCTCAGATCCCTTCCCTGTCCCTGCTGGCCACGCCAGGGCTGGCACAAGCCAGGATGCCATTGGCCTCCTTGGCCCCCTGGGCACACTGCTGGCTCATGTTCAGCTGGCTGGCAGTCAACACCCCCAGGTCCCATCCACTAAATTTGGGAGGTGGAAACAGTTTTGTGTGTTGCTGGTGGAGCTTCCCCCAACGCCAGCAGGAGCTGGGGTACCTCGGTGTCCGCCCACCTCCCAGATCCTTTCTCCTCCCTCCCCTTCACCCGCAGGTCAACGCCCTGGATGGCTACAACCGAACGGCCCTTCACTACGCGGCGGAAAAGGACGAAACCTGCGTGGAAATCCTCCTGGAGTACGGGGCCAACCCCAACGCGCTGGATGGCAACAAGGACACGCCGCTCCACTGGGCAGCCTTCAAGAACAACGCCGAGTGCGTGCGGGCGCTGCTGGAGAACGGCGCCTTGGTCAACGCCCGCGACTACAACAACGACACCCCGCTCAGCTGGGCGGCCATGAAGGGTAACCTGGAGAGCGTGAGCATCCTGCTCGACTTCGGGGCCGAGGTTCGGGTGGTTAATTTGAAAGGCCAAACCCCCATCTCGCGTTTGGTGGCGTTGCTGGTTCGGGGCTTGGGTACGGAACGGGAGGATTCCTGCTTCGATCTTCTCCATCGAGCTATCGGACATTTTGAGCTGAGAAAAAACGGCAGCATGCCCTGGGAGGTGACGAGGGATCAGCAGCTCTGTGAAAAGCTCACCCTGCTCTGCTCGGCCCCCGGTACCTTACAGACCCTGTCACGTTACGCCGTACGCCGCAGCCTGGGCGTCCGGTTCCTGCCCGAGGCGGTGAAGCAGCTGCCCCTGCCCACCTCCCTGAAGGAGTACGTGCTTCTCCTCAGCTGAGCGCAGGACGAGGCGCCGGGGCTCTTCCTCACCACTTCCTCACAGCAAGCACCGGGAAACGAGGTTGACCCTTGGGTGTGGGACTCTTGGGTGCCCGGAGTCCCCTCCCCGGTCGCCGTCCCGGTTTCCATCCTGCTGCGCTCGGAGCCGGCGCGGGGCAGCGGGGACCCACTGGTGCTGCTCGGTGCAGCTCCTCCCACGTGCTCACCCCTCGATTTCGGCCTTGTGAGATGAGCAAGCCCCCTTGAACAGCAAATTATATCCCAGCTGTTGGATTAACCTATTTTTTTCCCCCTTTTTTTTTTGTGTGTGTACGTCGGGGCTGACCTTGGGGAAAGGAAGGCTTTGTAGGTGCAGGGAGAGCAGGGAAACGCTCTTTCTTTGAAGGACCTGTGATAGGAAATCAAGAAGTCCTGTGGGATGCATCGGCTGGAATTCTGGTGGAAAAAAACCCACCCCAAGCCCCTGTAGCGACCCCCTGAGTGGTGTAGCACTGCGGGCTGACACCTTTGCTTGGCACCAACACCCCGACACACCCGCAGCGCCCCACAGACGGGGCAGCGCTTGTGTGTCCGCACCTCCCGGTGCAGACATCAGGCATCCTTTCACCACGTGGAAGTCTATTTTTTTCCCTTTTTATCTAATTTTTTTAAGACCCCTTGGAGGGGTGGAAGGTGGGAGCCCCTCAAGAGAGACACTGTGGGGCTGTAATTTGTGTGAGCAGAGGAAATGTTTCTCTCCCTCTCGAGTTGCTCCGCTCAGAGCAGCGGCTGCTCCGTGCCCCGGAGCAGAGGGTTTCCCTCCCATCTACCACACCATACCCCCCCCACCCCCCAAGCTCTTCCTTAGCTTTGCTTTTGCACTGCCGACTCACCGGTTTTGGTGTTGATTTTATTTATGTGTGTGTACATGTGGATTTTAGGAGGAGGGTGGGCAGCGGGGCGCTGTGCAGGACCCCCGTGGGCAGCACCCACTCTCTGTTGGGCACAGCTTGCTCCCAGCCCCGCCCATTTGGGGTCCTCCCTGAACAGGGAGGCTGCGTCAGGGTGGGGTTTGGGGGGAGCTGGTGTTTTATTCCTGTCCTCATTTTTGGCCCCACGTACGGTCCCTGTCACACCTCAGAACTGTAACATCACCCCGCCCGTGGTGACGCGTTTTAAATCCTCATGCTGATGAGTTTTGTGTGGGTTTTGCTTCCGACCACAGCCTGCCCCCTCCGATCCCCCTCCACGCTGCGCCACCCCTGATTTTTGGGTTTTTTGGGGGGGATTTTGATGATGCACCGAGCTGTATCATCCTCTGTGTGTGCGTTCCTCACCCAGGGGTCCTAGGAGAGCTGTTCCCTGCACTTGAAGTCAGGCGGGTGAACTTTGATAATTGCTTTATGGGAGAAACTCGGGGTGTGTGGGGGGGAAAAATCAGATTTTATATATTTTATTCCTCCCTGTTGGGCTGGGAAGTGAAGCCGTCGGGACTGGGGGTGTGTGCGGAGCTGCGGGAGCCGTGTTCTCCTTCCCTGGGGGGGCTGAGCGCTGAGGGTTGGAGCATGATTCACGTTTGCCACCACGACTGAGTGGTGAGTTTATTGAAGCATCTTAATTCTGAATTTTTAACACTAGAACAGTGCCCTGGGGACTCTACCCAGACCTCTTACTCTCAGCTCGTCGCAATATCCCGCCGCAACACTTGGGGAAACCGCTTTTCTGTTTTAAAAAAGCCCGTAAAAACAGCTAAACCAACCCAAAATTTACCCTGAAGAAACCCTCTGCTTGAGGAAAACCGCTCTTCTGCCGAGGCAGCGCGTGTCCTCGGGGAATGAAGGTGCTGCCTGGCTTCCCTGGGGGGGTGCAAGCTAGAACGAGGAGCGTGAGCTACAACGGGGAGCGCTTGTTTTGGGGGAGTTCCCCGGAGTGACACGGGGACACGCTCCGGGGTGGGGGGGAAGCCTTGCCAGGGATGGAATTTTAAATGTTGGACTCGAGCGAGATCCTCTTGCGCGTGACGTGCTCCAGGTGGGCTTTCTCCGAGGTGTCCAGCTCGATGTTGTACTTGGCCAGGATTTTTAGGATGGGGCGAAGCTTCAGCCACCACTGCTCCTTGGGGATGCGGTGTCTGGGTGTGAGAGACAGAGAGAGAGATGGGAATTATCCTGCCTGGGGTACAGCCTCAGGGGTGTGGAGTGGAGGGGGGGTGGTAAAAAGGGGGGGCGCCTACTCGAAATCTGTCTGCTCCTTGAGCTCGGCGATGGGCTGGAAGACGAGGCTGCGCTTGCGCATGCCCAGCAGACAAGCCGAGTCGGCCGTGTTGGCGAAGATCCGACCTGTGAGGGGAGGTGGGGAGTGGGCTTAGTGTTTTAGACACCACACGCTGCCCCCCCTCAGAGGGGAGAGCACCCCCCAAAACGTGCAGGGGAGCCCTTGTGTTGAGATATTGGAGCACCTGTGTGCGGTGGGGAAGAGCTGGGGATTTTGCTTTTGGCTGCGGTTGTGGAGAGGGGGGTTTGGAAACGGGGCAGAGAAACACCCCCCCCATGCCCCCCTCCCCACGCCAGGGTGGCACCCACCATGCCGGGAGCACTCCTTGATCTTCCCAGTGATCCAGGCCACCGCCTTGGCACCCATTTTGGTACCAAAGTTCCTGTCAAAGGGCGTCGGGGTGCCGCCCTGCGCCGGAAAAGTCACTGGGTGAACAGGGGGAAGCCCTGGGCGAGGGGCTCCCAACATGCAGCCCCTTCCCTGGGTGGGGGGGTTCTCTCCCATTCCTGTTGCCTGGAGGGGGGGGCCCTGTACCTGCTGCATGTGCCCCAGCACGTTTTTCCGGCAGTCGAAGGTGCCCTTTCCCTCCTCCGAGTAGAGGTTGTAGATGAAATCCGTGGTGTAGTTCTCGTTGCACCGCTCGTTCCTGTGCCAGGGGAAGGAGATGAGCTCACGGGGTGGGGGGTGTGACACGAGCATGGCAGGTCTCAGCCACCCCACCCCAGG